TTGTTTCTGGACCTGTGGTGAAGGGAGCCTCATGGCACTATGTATAGGGTGGGACAAAGCTGCTTACCTCATGGCAGATGGGGACCAGAAGACACTGTGAGAAAGGAGCTGAGGTCCCAATATCCCTTCAAGGTCACTCCCTCAATGAACTACTGCCTGCCAATGCCTGATTCCTTGAAGGGCTCCCTCCCTCCCCTTGTCTCTGTGCCCCCCGCAACTTTCTCATGCAAACTTCAAGGAATTGTCTGCTTACCACATCAGCTTCTTTTTCTCCCACCGGCTCATCACTCCCTGTCCCCAAATGCACAGTTGACATTGGATGTCCTCAGTCACTTGCCATGTTTTCTTCTGATGGGGTCTGTCACAGAGCACGGTGCTTTCTATTTGTCTAGACAGTTGTCCAGCAAGCCTCAGACATCCTTCTCTCTGCCTCCCCAGCTCTGGGATAACAGGTGTGTGCTGCCATGCCCAGGTGTTTTTATGTAGTTTCTGGGGATTGGAACTCAGGTCCTCACGCTTCCATAGCAAGCTTTCTGCCCACTGAGCCATCGTCCCATCCAGCTGCTGTGCCTTTGTTAATTGCAGGTGCAGTAATGCCCAGCTGCAATGATCACTAACCAGGGGCCAGACACCGCATTAAGTGGCCATCTCTGTTTATTGAATAGGTGTTGGGCTTGTCAGGGGTTACCTCTCTCTACAGACGCTGGGGTATAGAGGCCTCATCTTTGTATCCTGGTCTTTGGGGTGTGGTGGACTGGAGTGGATGCCAGACCTCCAGCAACAGCTAGGAAAGTAGAGTCCTCAGGCCACCTAAGGACACTAGGGTTTTCTCTGGAGGACTGCGGCTGGGCTGCTTCTGAGAAGCAGCTTGAGGTATATGTCATCAGAGGGTGGCTGCTCCTCACCCCCTTGCTTGATGCAAGGAAAAGTCTTCAATTCAGCCTATGCCCTGTCCATACTATCAGGCAAGTCTTCATCCTCTGTTTTTATTTTTATTTTTAATTTTCTGCATTTGAGCCAGAGTCCTAGTACAGGGTCTATAAACTTCTGTTCCTTGATTCTGCCAAAACCGTTGCTTCCTGAGTATGTGCTTCCAGGGGCCCACTCCAGGATCTGTGCCATGGTCACCACAGCCTTCCAGGCTGGCCTCTGGGTCCACAGACAGACCCAGAACTACATGCGTCTCTCCATGCCTGGATTTGGAATGCCTTTCTTTGTCTGACCAGTTGACACCCTGACACAGGCCCAGCAAGGCTGTTTTCCCCGCAGTTGACATCTCAGACTACAGTGTGGTCCCCCAGGTGCCTACCTGCCCAGATACTGTGAGTGTCCCTTTGATCCTCCTAGATGACAGTGAATGCTTATTCTGACTGGTGTGACAGTGTGTAAGTACTTGTCCCACATAGGGTGGCAGGGAGAATCCATCCACTCCCTCTGGTGCTCCTATAGGAAGCTTTGTTCTTCCTGCCTGTGACAGTAAGTATCACATAAAACATGGACTCATAGTTAGCCATAGTTGACCAAAGGGACATTTGAACTAGGTATAGTGACACATGCCTGGGATCTCAAACTCCAGAGGCTGAGATAAGAAGATCTTGAGTTCCAGGCCAACCTGGGCTACATACTGAGATCCTATTTCAGAAAAGAAAAATAAAAGTATGTGTATGTTGGGCTGGAGAGATGGCTCAGAGGTTAAGAATCCTGACTGCTCTTCCACGGGTCCTTAGTTCAAATCCCAGCAACCACATGGTGGCTCACAACCATCTGTAATGAGATCTGGTGACCTTTTCTGGCCTGCCGGCATACATGCAGACAGAACACTGTATACATAATAAATGAATAAA